CGAGCCGCGGCTCTGGCTGCGACTCCAGCATTGACATTGCTCCACTCCAAGCGACGCCTTCCGCGCCTTGACACACTTGTGCCTCGCGCTCTCTCGCACTCACGGCGGCGCCGCGCCGCGGACGCCGCGCGTCTTCGCGGGCTGGCCCTACACCGCAAGGGACCCGCAAGGGATGGAGCCTCGTCCAGCCGCTCCAGGAGCCCACAGGACTCCAGGGAGGGCTCCAGCGCCGCGGCACCGTGGCGGGCCACGTGCAGGCCGACGACTCGGTGACGCACGAAGTGACATAACGATGGACACATCCAAGGACCGAGGACCGGCCCTGGCCCTGGCTGCCCTGGCCCTCAGTTTGACAGGTTTGACCTGCATTCGCTGCTGGTTGGGTTTGGTGGTTCGATAGAGTGGTTTGGAGGCACTGGCACTACGAGCCGCGGGTCACGTCCAAAACCTACGGCCACCTCAAACTCGTTCATTTATGTAAATGAGTAAGACTGGCGGGAAAAGGAGCGGACAGGTTTTGTCCGCATTCCCGCGCCGTGGCTCGCCGTGCCTCGCCGTCGTCGTCCAGCCGCTGCCCCGGACCGCGACTCCGTGACTCGAGCGGTGGACCTTATGGCTTCCCGGCAACCCGAGTTATTGACCCAGGTCAGACCTGGAAAATTGATTCTGTCACAACAAAGTCGCCTGTGATTGGCCGAAGCACTGCCTCGCGCGGGACTCACAGACACACGCGCGCACACACCTGCAGCCTCGCCTTCCGCCACCTTAGGCTTGTGGTTTCCGTTGATCGGATTGCCAGCTTTGGCAGCTTTGGCGGTGGCGGGGTGGCCGCACTGGCTTAGCCACATTCCGTGGCTCGTACCGTCGTAACCTCTCAAAGTCTCAAAACAAGGTTCGGTGCGCTATTATAATTCCGAACCCAGCGCGCAGGCAAACTGGCGGAAAATAAAATGGAAAATGGAGATGCCTTTCTTCTTGTTGTTGATTATTTTTTTGGCGGTTGTTGTTTGTACTCGGCCGCCTAGAGTTGGTGACGACACTGTACACAGGTGTACACAGCGGGACGCGCAAACGCTCCGGGGAAGGATTCACCGTTACTCTGGCGGTCCGGCTGCTGGCCGATTCGTCGCTCTGTCTCTCTCCCACTCATGGGGCATTCCGCAGAGGTGCGACAGAGACAACGCCACGAGGCACTGCCTGCAGCAGCGGACGGCGGAGGCACATTCCGGGTCCAGCGGCCCAGCGGCCCAGCGGCCCAGCACCAGCGGTCCCGTCCTGTCTGAAGACTCCGAGGACGGGATTGCGACCATTGCAACAACTGCAGGACTGCAATCAGCGAGCCCTGGCCTTCCCTTCATGTCGCCGACGACTCCGGCTTGTTTCAGTTCCGTCCTTGCCTCGTCCTTTGAGCGGCAGTCAAACAGACGGATGATGGATTGGCACGAGTCCTTGGAGTCCTCGGCTGCCCGAGCTGCCCGCGGGTGACAGGATGCTTTGCCATGCTCTGCCCGGTTAGATTCCTGATCCAGTGTTACAACTGGGCTGGCCGGTCTAACGGTCCCTATGCAAATAAAAGCTGCCCATCGTCCATAGCGCTCCGCCCGAAACCGCCCCGCCCCGCCACGACCCAGGACCTAGGACCCCAGGACCTTCCTGCGCCCGGGTGCCCGTCTCCGAACCGCGCGCGGCGGCCCGGGCGCGGTCTGCTCCCTGGCCAGCCTCCAGAGACCGCGATCCTGGACGGCGGCCCGCTCCGCTCGGCGCCGTGCCTTCGCCTTCGCCACCAAGGCAGCCTCCTGCCCACCCGCTTGGCGCTTCCGGTAAAAAGATGCAACACAACAATCACCTTCGGCCAGCCTCGAACCTCAACCTGTTCCCGGAGAGTCCCCCAGTTATCCTCCGACCGATACACTACCTTTTTGCGTCGACGCGTCGCGCTGCCGCACCGTTCGGTGCGCAGCACTCGCTTCGAGCTTCGAGCGGAGCGGGGCGCGGGCGGCAGGCCGAGTCCCTCTCTTTCTCTCTCGCACTCACAGGGCGTCCCGAATGGGTGCGAGAGAGATGGACCGATGGAATCACTCTGCAGTTACTGGCGGGCAGCAGGGCCCGCGACGAGAATAGGAAAGAGTGCATGCAATACAAGAGCATTGTGCCACCGCACTGTCTACTACATACCTGGCGCGCCAACGCCAGGTAAGCGGACACTACACTGTGGACATGCCAACAAGCACGCAGCGATAATGGCTATTGAATTGCGCATCGGGACAGCCAGGACAGCCTGGGACAGCCGGCCGGATGGGATGGACTCGTCGGACAGGGCAGCAGCCTGTGACCCGATCGCATCGCCACCGTCTCGTTGCGCTCTTCCAGCGCTCTTCCGGGGACTGGCGCGGAAAGTTGTAAGAAAAAGAAACGCCGAACTGCCTCGAACATGTTCTGTCTCAAAAAAATTAAGTTAGTCCTTTTTTCCTAACGCCCCACGGAGCTGTAAAGTTTTACACCTGAAAGGGAAAGGATGTTCCTGGGGCATAATAATCCAGGGACATAATAATACACAACCATCCAGCCGAGCTGTTTCGAAGGATCGTTTCGTCAGTCTCTAGGGGCGTCCCGTGGGGGTGCGAGGGAGACGCGGCGACGAGCAAGGCGACGAGCAGTCCTGGGCAGGCTAGGCACGGCCTCGAGATTTTTGTCGGCGAAATGGTCGCAATGTCGACTTTCCTTTGTAATTTGTGCCCTTACCCTGCGTCTCGTTGCCAACCTGATGGGGTTTGTTTTATGGCATGCAACAGGTAGGCAGGCAGGCTCAGGTAAGCAGTGCACTGGCACACTGGCGGTGCAGGGACGCGCGCGCCCTCCACGCGCCTGGCCCCGCGTCGTCAAGAAGTGCCGCCTCCAGCCGCCGTGACAAGACAAGGCATTTACAGCGTATTAGACTCGGTTGACTTAGAGCAGAGAGACAAGGCCCGAATCAGCCCATGGCAGACGCTATAGTAATATCCAATGAGCGTCCGGTTTTTACCCCCCATCCCCACCCCCCTCTCCACCGCCAGGGCGGCCGCCCCGGCCTTCGGCGAGGTTCCATTTTGTCGAATTTGCGTGAGGCGCGTCGGGCGAGCCCAGCAGCCCAGCATCGCGGGGAGAAGCACTCGCAGACACGCACACAGACGCAAGCACTCACTGAACCGGCACTTACGCAAGTCTGCCCTCTGGTCAAATTTTTAAACCGTTTAAAGCGATTTTGTGAAACGATAACCACCGGAGTCCGGTTTTTAAAATAGCCGGTAGCTGGGCTAATCACACCACCGCCTCGGTGCCTTGGGTACCCCTGGGGTAGGGTACCCATCCCGGATTAGTGTATTTTCGCCTCCGGCCGCCACGTGCACGACGTGCACCACCAGCACCGCCTGCCCCGCCATTCCGAAGTGTCGCTTTGCCGCTCTGTCTCTGTCGCACTCACGGGCCGGCGCGGAGGGGTGCGACAGAGACAGAAGCGGCTCTTCGCAGACGGTGTGCCGATCGCGATGAATAAACCCGCGATATGCAGCCCACACCCCACCTCCTCGCCACCGGGGGTGCAGTGAGTCATCGCCATCGCGGCGCGATGGCTATCGCGCTGCACGCTGTAAGCTGCTGCAAGATGCGGCAAGGTGTTGTCGTGCCCCCTTCGTACTCGAGCCCCGAGTTCAAATCGTTCAAACTCGCCCAGGATTATTTTGTTTCTGATTGAGCCGCGGTTGGAGGTAACCTCGCGCCGCCCCCGCGGTGGCCGGGCGCGCGGCCAGGCGGCCAGGCGGCCAGGCGGTCCCCGAGTGCCGAATGGTACCCAGCCCAGATTGTTTGTTATCGAACAGGCAGTGCTTCCGTTTCGCCGTTCGGCGTGGAGGCGGCGCTGGCGGCGGCGCTGCTGGCGGGGCGGGCACTCCAACACGGCCTGCTGCTGCTCGGGCTCGGCCGGCCTGGCCACCCCCACCGACACCCTCGCCGTGGACGACGCGGCGCGTGCGGGTGGACGCAGTGTTCGGCCCTCGTTCATAGTTCGGCCACGTTTCGGTGGTTCGGTCCGGCCGGCCAGATGAATGGCACTGGCGATGGCGTTGTTTTGCAAAGCGGTCCGTTTTTCGGGGCTCCAGAGTTCAGTTCGATCATGCGGGAATGCGACAACACGCGGACACCCGCCAGGCCGGCCAGGGTGGCGCCCGGCCCGGCGCCCGGCCCGCCGATGTGGAGGCAGGCGGCTAGCGCCAGCTAGCGCCGGCTAGCGCCATGGCGGCCGCCAGGACAGTGCCCTGCCCGCCCCGCCGCTACCCGCGACGCTATCAGATGGCCCGGTGGCCCGGTGCGGCCGAGGCCAGTGCCGGCGAAGGCCAAGAGCGCCGTCGGCGTCGTCGCCGCCCTCACAGCTGGAGTGCGGAGTGCGGCCGAGCCCGTGGGCGGAAGCGCGCGCGGCTGGTGCACGTTGGGCTGCCTACCCGCGGCATGGCAGGCGTTGCGGTTATTGGTGCACCCACTGCGCGAGCAGCACCCCCGCGCCCTGCGCCCTGCGTCGCGTCCTGCATTTAGTTCTCCTGCGCCGCGCCCCGCGCCCCACCCCCGAGCCCCAACCCCAGAGGTGCGCGGCGCGCCCCGTCGGACGCTCGGCGCGAGCCCCCGCGGCCCCTCCGCCCCGCCCCGCTGGCACGTCCATGCCGCCGCCGCGCCCCTCCCCACTCCCCGCCTCCCACTCCCCGGCGGCGCGGTGCGGCGCGGTGCGGCGCGGCCAGGCCGACCAGGCCGACGGGCTGCCGGTGTCTGGCTGGGTCTGCTTCTCCTCCTGGCTTGGCTCTGGGCTCTGGCTCTACTCGGCATCGGCACTCGACTCACTCAGCGCTCTGCCGCCGTGCGTCGCGCCACGATCGTCCACTCCGGGAAGGGCAGGGAAGGCAAGGCGTCCGCGACGACCGACGACCACGCGACACGCCACAAAGTTCCGCGACGACCACCCCGCCCCGCCCCGCCGCGCGCCGCCCCGCCCCGCCACGGGCCGAGCTCGCGGGCAACAGGTAGCTGCCGTTTGGCGTTGATTGCAATCGCTGCGACTCGACATGAGCATCGAGTCCGTCGCCGGCACTCGGGCCGCCGTTCCGCGGACTTGAACGGCACGCCGCCGACCTGAGGGGAGGCCCTCCTCTACCGCAGCCTTCACCGCCTTCCGGAAGACGCAGACCGTCGCAGACGGAGACGGCCCGGACTCTGCCGCCGTCGTCTGCCGCGTTTCGGCGTTTTGTTGTCATCCTGTTTGTGTGCGGGAACGGGTGCCGAAGAGCGTTCCCAGTGTGAGTGCGTCCCGCGCGTCCAGTGCAGTGCCGCGCGCCGCGTCGTCTGCTGGAGGCGCCGAGGTGACATTTTGGCAGCGTTGTTCGCTAAATGATATTCGACCGGAGCTTCGACTTTGCAAGGTAAACGTCTTTTGTTTTGTATTTGTACTGTACATCCCCGACGCGCCGCCGCACACTGACACCGGTTTTTATTTCTCTCTTTCCGTTTCTGCGTCCTTTCCCCCCCCCCTTTCTTCGGTTATTTTATTTGAAGTCTGCCCTTTTAATGAGTGCCAGTGGCGACGCGTCCCGGCCGGCCTGGGACTTCCCTCGGGAAGGGCGTCCCGGCGTCCCGGCGTCGCTGCACTGCCACTACACTGCCACTGCTGGCACGCACCGCCTCGCCTTATCTCGCCCCGGCTCTGCTCTGTCAGTGTTGCGACGCGTCGTGATAATGTATGCCTCGTAAATTGGGCGTGAATTTGTTATTGGGAGACATCCCTGAGCACGCCGCCGTGCCGCCGTGCCGCCGATGATGTCCGTGGATTCCATTGACCCCGTGGAGGTCGCCGGCAATCTCCCATATTGCTGGCTGGCGATAATTACGTCCATGGTCACACTCAGTGCTCTCTCTTTCCCTCTCTCTCTCTCTCTTCTTCTCCGTCGAGCGCCGCCAAACGTTCCCGTTCCACCGCATCCGGCTCGCGCGCGGTGCTGGCGGTGCTGGCGGTGCTCGCGCACCCTGGCCGCCGACACCGCGACCGAGGCCGTCATCCTTGTCCGCATCTCCAGATCGCGGACCCGATTGCGTGCATGAAGCCCCCGCCGCGCCGCGCCGGTTGCTCGAATTGGTGGGTCTTTTCCACGAAAGGCCGCGAGTGCGGCAGTTTGGCAGTGCAGTGGCAGCGCAGCCCGCAGGCCGACGAGGCGAGGGTCGCCACCCCGTCCCCGTCGTCCCCGCGGCCGCCAGGGTGGGCAGCACTGTCAAAATTCGTCGTCACTTCATGACAAAATCGTGGAAAATTTTCTCATCACGGTAAAAATTATGACAATTTCGTCACGAATTCATGACAAGCTTCTGTACTTTATTGCATGGACGGTGACAACCGCGTTGTCAACTGGTTTGATGACGTGATTCTGGCATGGAAAATTATCAAGTGACAACTGAAATTTTGACAGTGCAGTGGGCTGCCGCTGGGCTGCTGATGGACAGGCAGGGGCCATAAGCGCAATAAGCGGCAGCGAGTCGCCGCACCGCCACCGTATCGTACGGGACTCGAGTAGTATAACGTAGTTCTCATTTGTTTTTATCACGGGTCCGTTCGTCTCGGTTCGTCTGCGGGCCGAAGCTGAAACAGGTACTTTTATCAGTTGCCATGCCGGCACGACAGTGGTACAGTGGTATTACCCAGTGAGTGTGCGTACGTACAGCCTAAAGGGGCGCTGCGCGGGGGCGGGGGCGGGGTGGGGCGGGGACGGGGCGGGGCGGCCTCCATGCCGGCAAGTCCGTGTTCGTCTTCCGGCAGTCAGCTGATTGTGGGCTCGTCGGCGCGGCCAGACAGCTGGAGGGACTGGAGACTGGGGGGTGCCGAGGGGAGCGAGGGGCTGACGAGGCCTCCGCTCCTTTCCTTTTATTCCCTTTACTCCCTCGCTCCGCCCCGCCCCGCCTCGCCCCGCCGGCATGTTCCCGAGTGTAGGGCCCCTCCGTCCCCGACCCGCCCCAGCGCGCCCCAGCGTCACCGTCCTGGTCTTGACTTATCGCAGGGACGCGGCGGCGCGGCCGTCGCTATGCAGCGCACCATGCGGGACTGCATTGGAAGGGAAGCCCTGGCTGGCTGGCTGCGGGGGCGTCCCCAGCATGGAGATAGTATAGAGTCCTAAAAGTCCCGCAGGACTGGACGGGCCCACCGGCCGGACCTTGCTTGACGTCGTGGTGGGGAACTTGACACCACCGGGACATCCCGTGCGGGTTCCCCATCCCGTCCCCCATCCATTCGTACGGGGGCTCCACTCCTCGACTCTAGGCGCGACGACGCCGAGACTGGCTCGGGCGTCCTGTAGGAAATCCACCGCTTATTAGCGGTGGATTGGCGCGCGTTCGCGAGGGCTTCCCTGGGGCGCGGCCAGAGAGGCCATAGCCAGTGCTCGAGGCGGGGCCCGAATGGGGAACACATTTTGGCCGATGGGAATTTGACCGTCCCCGGCGTGGCCCAATGTCCGACGCTGTCCAAATGTCAGACTTGTCCTTGTCAGGCTCAATAGTAAATCATTGGCACAGTCGGGCGGGGCGGCGGGGCCCGTCTAAGCTTCCTAGAACTGGACAGTGGACGGGGACGGGCCTGGTGGCACCGCCTTCACCAATAGGGCCTGATTGTGGTGCGTATGGAATGGAAACCGGCTCGAGCAGGGCGGCGCGGCGGCGGGCCTGAGGGCAGGGCGGCCATGCTCCGGCGAGGCGGCGCGGCGGCGAGGCCCCCGACGACGGCAGGACGGCCCGACGACGCGCCTGGCTGCTTCCTGGCCGGCTGCCTCGGAAGTGGAGTTCTCACGCTGGGCAATGGGTTCGTCGGCTAGCTGCGATTGGTTGCGACACCGACCCCCGCCCCCCTTCCCCGCCCGGCCCTGTCCGGCCGTCCGGCCGCGGTCTGGAGAAAGGGGGTGCGGGCGCCAAGGCCGCGTCCGCGTCGCGCCGCAAGGTCACGGCCAGGCCGGCCTCGGCCGCGCCACGCCGCCACGCCTCGGAGGGGACGCGGACGGGGAACGAGTTGATTGTCGCAATCGAAGGCGATCGGAATCGAAAGGAAAATGAGGAGGGGCGCGGCGAGGATGCCGTCGACGCCCCACCGTAAGTCGAGTCCGGCCCGCGACCCTCCCGGCGTGCCAGACGGACCAAGCGGACCGCCAGGTCATTTCCTGCGAACGGGGTGCCTGGTCGTCCAGTGTCTAGCCTGCCCCGATTAGATTCGAGGGCACTGACGTGCACCCCGTGCCTTTGGCTGCCTTTGGCTGCCTTTGGCGGTGTTGCTGTGCTGCCTTGCTGCCTTGGAGTCCGTCACGGTGCTGTAGTGCCGCTGTCGTCCTGCTGCCGGCCGGCACTGGCCGCGGGGCGTGGCGGGGCGTGGCGGGGCGTGGCGGGGCGTGGCGGGGCGTGGCGGGGCGTGGCGGGCGGGGGGCGGGGCGTGGCGGGGCGTGGCGGGCGGGGGCACGGTGCCGCGAAGCGGTGGAGCGTCTCCACGCCGCGCGCCGCCACGCCTCGGCCGGTCTGCCGGCCGGCAGGACTCGCGATGTGATCTTGGCCTTGGAGTGCGCGCTCTTGGCCTTGGTCCTTGCGCTCTCACCTTGGTCTGGGCTTGCCGCCGTGCCGGCTGCCGGTGCCCGCGCCGTGACGCGCCGCGCCGGCCGCGTGGGCCACCGCGGAGGGGCCGCCGGTGGGAGAGGCAGAGGCAGGTGCGACGGAAGTGGCGGTTTTTGTGTTTCACCCCCACGGGATTCACGGGCTGGCCGCCCAGTCAATCTCAAAGCCGAGGCAGCGGGCGGTGCTGGCGCTCGTCGCGCTCGTCGAGAAGCGCCCCCGCGGTGACACTTCCCCGTAGGCCGTCGCTATCGCGGCCTGCCTTTTGTTGACTCGCTGATATTGTTTCATCCGAGCCCCGTCCCGTCCCGCTGGCGGAGGGCGGAGGGAATGTCACCTTCATTGATAAGTTATCGGGCGGCGCGTTGCTCGGCGTCGCGCGTTCGCAGATAATTATTCACGGTGAGCACCTTGTCGAAGGAGCCGAGATAACCTGCAGCCCGCCACTGCCGCCTGGAGCCCTGAGGCCTGGGGCTTGTAGGCCTGGAGGCACGCCTGGAGGCCTAGATGCGCACGTGCCTTTTGTTTTGGCTTTGGTGTTGTTGTTGCTCGCGGCTTGGCGGCTAGGCTTCGCACCTCGCGGCCGGCCGGCCGGCGCTCCCCGGCCCGTCGTGTCGTGTGCGAAGCGGCTAGGCGCGGCTAGGCGCGGCTAGGCGCGGCCCGGCGGCACGTTCAGGAAGCCTAGTTATAATTTGGTGGATTCGATAATTGCTTCAAGTGGAGGCGGAGGGGGATTTGAGGAGCAGAGAGGGGTAGAGAGAGGGGCGGGGGGACGCGTTCGGTGCTGGTTGGCTGCTTGGCTGGTTATCGGGTGTCGTCTGCCGGAAGTCTTGGCGCGCGAAATTCGAACTTCCTCCGGTCGGCCGGCCGCCGGGCCATTAGTGAGGCGATGCGACTGTTTTATCAGAAGCCGCGTCGCCCCGCTTCGCCCCGCGCAGCGCGCAGCCGGGTAGCGAAAGTACGTTTCAATGTCGCGGTGTCGTTGCTATCTGGCTCATTGGAGCCATCACGGCCTGACGACGCAAAGCGACGCAAAGTCAAACAGTGCTGGTTGCTGGTGGCACCAGCACGTTGCTGCCGGAAATACGCAAATACTTTGGCCAGTGTTGATGCGCGGTGCCGGACATCCCGGACACCGTGGCCGTGGCCTGCTGACGCTATGGTCCCTCTGGCCGTCGTCGGGGATGCACAGGAGTGCATTGCGCCATGCCGCCGTCAGGTAGACGCACGATGTTTGCGGGTGGGGCCGAATGCGAAAGGCCGAAAGTCAATTACAGTGGATGGTGTTTTCTTTTCTCCGGGCCGCGCTGCTTGCTGCTTTCTTCGGCCGCGTGTTATTTTTAGGCGCGGCAGCGGCGAAGCGGTGAACCGGACCCCCGTGTGGATTGGCTTCTAGGAACAGCCACCCCCGGCCCGGCGTGGCTGGAGGCTCTGGAGGCACTGGAGGCTGGCGCTGGGGGCGGGGCTCCTTCTTTGTCGTGCAGGCGCCGCGTTCGCACCCACACGCATTATCAAAGCGCCGCCACCAGGGCCGCCACCAGGGCCGCCACCCACCCCAGGGCCCCCGGGCCGCCTCGTGATGGATTATTGGGCATCAATCGGCGCCAATGATTCAAAGTCCGGGCGACCAAAGGGCGGCCTCTGAGGCGCTATGGCGGGCCGGCAGGCTGGCACTTTGTAGCGCTGGCGGCCCGCCGGCCGGCGAGTAGAGTCCAGGCCTCACTTTCCCACGCTGGCGTGCTCGCAGTCTCGCAGTGGAGCGGAGATAGCGAGGCGGCCCGGCGACGTAACGCGGCCCGGCCACCGCCGCGGTGCCGCCGCCAACGCCAAGGCCCCGCCGCCAAGGCCCCGCCCCCTTGGGGCCCTTGGGGCCGAGAACGGCGCGAAATCTGCAAAATCTGCGAAACGGCAAACAAGGTCGGATCGCTGGCGTCCAGTGTCGCCGTCGCCGACGGCATGCCGACGGCCAACGCGAACGTCACGCCGTGAACCCGAACCGGCGAAAGGGGAACAAGAAAGCTCTGGGCCGGCAGCGCCAGCGCAGCGCTCTACTTTTGCCCGCGTCTTGCCGCGGCGCCCTGCAGTGTTTCGTCGCTCTGTCTCTCTCGCACTTGATTGGGATGCCCCGAGAGTGCGAGAGAGACAGCGACGAAAGACAATGTTCGGAATGAGCCTGCTGCTGCTGGAAGGGCCACGCTGGCTTCGCATCCGCCGAGAAGTAGTCCGTCCGCCAGCGCCAGCAAAAGCGCCAACGGACTGATTCCGCACTCGTCGCTGTCTCTCTCACACCCTTAGGGCACGTCCCACGAGGGCGAGAGGGGCAGAGCGACGAAAGCGATGCTCAGAACCATCGGTCTTGCTGGCGACGCCCCGGCGCCCCTCCCTCTCCCCTCCCCGACGAAGGATGCCATCTCCGCCTCTGTATCGTGGCTTGCCATCTAATCGTGCGTTATTCGCTGATTGCGCTGCGAGACTGACTGGCGACTGCACCGCCCCGCCGGCCCGCCGACGTGCCAGGCCAGACGGTCTAAATCAATCAGGCGGCCACCAGCCGGCCGCGCCCCGCCCCGCCCCGCCCCGCCCCGCCCCCCGCCTCGAATCATGTTCAAGCGAGGACGCTAATTGGTGCTGAAGGGAATTCCCTGGACGTCGCGCCGGCATGAGAGCCGCGCCCGGGAGGCCCGGGACATGACAGGGACATGGCGGGGACCTAGCCCCGGGCCGAAAAAAGAAAAGAAAGGAAAAGTCCTTGGTCGTCTCAAGGCTCAAGGCCAAGGTCTTCCTAGGCGAGCCGCCGCGGGCCGCGCACCGCGTCGCCAGGGCGTCGCCGCCGCCGGAAGATCGTTCGTTGTACATGGTACGGACGGGCAGGCTGGCTGGCTCCTCTCCTACACTTGAACCGACTTGAACGGAAAGAGCGTCGTGCTGCGGGGCGCGGGTCGCGGGGCGCCAAACTCGTGGGAACGAGGCGCCAGAGTGCACCGAGCCAACACACGCACACGCTCGCACGCGGCTGCGTGTAGGTGTGTCACGCCGTGTGTGTGCCGTCCAAACGGATCATGGCCTGACCGGCCACTGTGTTGCTGCATGCCAAACATAAACAGAAGGGCGAAACCGCACATCGCGTTCGTCGCCAGCGACCGCGGAAGTGGGGTGCAGGGGGGGCGGTTGGCCCCCCCTGAAATGAAACGGGGGGGGGCGCCGCCCCCCCTGTTTTTACCATTGTTTCGTCGCAAATTTCTGTATAGTGTCCAAATTTTAACCAAAACACGCTAATATTTTCGTAAATTCGCTGGCTTTCAGCTCGCTTCGCTCGCATTTCTTGGTAGTTTCCACTATTTGATGACTTGTACTTTTCATATTTCGATGGCATTTAGCTCGCTTTGCTCGCATTTCACTGACTTTGAGGGTCAAAACCGGCCTCCTAACTATTGTAAATTCCACATTACACGCATCTTATTAGCCCCCTGTTTTTCTCCTGACCCCCCCCCCCCCTTTAAAAGGAAAGTCTTGCCCCCCCCGTCATGAACTACTTCCGCGGTCCCTGTTCGTCGCTGTCTCTCTCGCGCTCATGGGGCGTTTCGTGTGGCGCGAGAGAGACAGGGCGACCGCGGGGAATCAGTCAGCAGGGCGAAACCGAGCTGCTCCGACTGTCTATCTGTCTGTCTGCTGTCTGCTTGTCTGTCTGTCTGTCTGTCTGTCTGTCTGTCTGTCTGCTTGTCTTCGCTTCGCACGCACACGCGCTCAAACAGGAGCACCAGCGAGCACGCGTTCTTCGGCGTTCTTCCCGGCGTGGCGCCGCGTGCCGAGCGATTCGGCGCTCTGTCTCTCTCACACCCTAACGGATCGCACTGTGAACGCGACAGAGACAGAAGGGAAAAACGAAACGATTCTTCGTTGCGGCCGCCTGCCTCTCCGGCCGCCTGCCCTCTGCCCCGCACTGCCCCATGGCGCAGAGACGGCTCGAGCCCACGTCGCCCTGTCTCTCTCGCAAGCACGCGGAACGCAGCGGAACGCCCCATGGGTGCGAGAGAGACGAACCGTCCCGCAGATAGACGCGGACGCGGCCAGGCCGGCGGCGGCGGCCCGCCCCCAGCTTGCCCGCCGGCCGGACCACTCCTTGACCTTAGAAAACTGAGGCGACGGCGGCGGCGACAGCTCGGCCCAAACCCAAAAACTTGCTGACTCAGCTCGCTCGAATCAAAATCCGAAGACTCGCCTCGGTTCCCGCTTCCGAGCGGGAGGTTTATTTCGGTCGTTCCGTCCCCTTCCGGACTTCCGGTGCGAGGCGAGGGGGTAGACGATGGGGTACTCGATGTACGTGGCTGGCGTCGCGGCGACGTGCGCGGAGGCACGGCACCGCGAGGAAGACACGACGACTAGACGGGCGGCGCGGGGCGGGGCGGGGCGGGGCGGGGCGCGTTGTTTGCGCTGGTCGCGCTTTGGGCACGGCGCGGCAGCGCGGCACTCATGGCGCGGCATGGCCGTGCGACTGCTGGCTCAGCCATTGATCCGGACCTGCCTCACTTCGCGACGAACGGAGGTCGCAGTCGCCACGCCCCTCCGCCCGCCCCGCCCCGCCCCGCCAGCGCCGTTCACACGCGCACAGCCGCCGGTTTGTGTTTTTTTCACGCGGGGGGCGGCCTGCGTCCTATTTTGGCCGCGTTTGGGAGAAAAGATGGTGTGCTCTCATCGACGCCTGTTTGTTGTTGTTTGTTCTACATGGTGGTGTTGTTGTCTGCCTGCAGAATGCTGAGCGCCGTGGACCTGGTGGCGCTGGTGCTGTTCGGAGCCATCCTGCTGTTCGGGGAGTTCCAGACCAAGTGGGGCTGGCTGCGCCTCCGGAAGTCCAAGACTCTGTCGCCGCCGTCGTCCCCGACGCCCACGTCGCACTCCCACAAGCCTGGTACGTATCGCCGTACTGGCACGACACCGCCGACCCGACCCGACCCGACCTCCTCCAAGCGCGGCGTGAGTCACTGGCCAAGCGAACCGGCGACCCCCAAATACTAACACTCTAGGTCAGTGTGCGGTCCGGTCACCTTGGCTGCCGCGGGCTGCGCCGGTCCCGCCGCTGTCCCGTCCCGAGGATGGAAGTTGCGCCCCTCGTTTTATCACCTCTAGAGCCGCTAACGTCGCAACGCGTTCAGCTCGCCGTGGCGGAAGGGGGGAGGGGGGTTGCTCCCGCCATCTGCTCTGCATAGACTGGAGCAGAGCGTTGGAGTGCCCGGAGTGCCGCGTGCATTTCATTTCCGGTTTTAATCAGTCAGTTCTCCGGCCGACTCGTATCCTGGACTGGACGGACTCCTGTTGGCTTCCGTTCCGAGTCCGCGTCGTCGCGTCGCGTCGCGGTCCTCTGATGATCGCCGCGCAGCGCAGCACAGCGCAGCAGCCCTCCGCGGTTCCCCGCGACGGTATTGGCCCCCGCCCCGCCCCCGCCCGCCCCGCCCCCGCCAGCCCCGCCAGCCCCGCCCCGCTGTCTGCAACAGTCTAGACGACCGCGCGCGCCGTGCCACGCCGTGCCGCGAAGCCGCGACATGCCACACGGGAACAGCACGCAGCCTCTGTCTGCTCAAGGAGATCCTGAATGAGTTCCGCGTCGGATTTTACGAGTCGGTTGCCGATCCACACTCCACACGTGTATAGTGTAGAGGCTGTGACGCCACGCCGCCGCCGTGCCGCGCCTGCCGCGCGGGCTGCGTGCGCCAGAACCGCTAGACCCGTTTTGACAGTTTGACACACTTTCGCTTCACACCTGCCGCCGCGCCTGCCGCCGCCGCCCTGGAGCTTTTGCTGCCTGGTCGCCGCCGTGCCCCCGTGCCCTCCTCCAGCCAGAGCGAGGCCCCCTTGGCCGCAGTGCCGCAGTGCAACACGCTGGCTAGTGCTGCCGTGCCGGGCCGCTCGCCCCGCGCCGGCCTTTATCGAAACACCGCGGTCCTGTCCGCACCGCACTCTGCACTCGGCGCGACGGAAATGACGCCAGTGTTACAGTGGTGCCCGCACGCCCGCACCCAGCACCGCTCACGGCGGCCGGCTGTCTGTACAGGCCAACTTTTCCGTCCGGTGCAATGAGCCACTGCACTGCAGCGGTGGCCGCGCCACGCCACGCCGCGCCACGCCATCGCCGCGGGGAAAGCTAGGCGTGCACCGCGAGCGTGGTGCAACGCCCCGCAACGCCCCGCCACGCGGACGAGGCGCACCCCCGCGCTGACGCCGCCGCCCTGCTGACTGATTCAGAGAGTCGTTTTCGTCGCTCTGTCTTTCTCGCGACCAGAGGGGGGCGCCCCATGAGTGCGAGAGAGACAGAGCGAAGAAAACGACTCTATGAATCAGTCTACCGCAGCCGCCGACACGGATCCGTTCGGCCGACGATAGCCCTGCGGCTCGCAGTCTCGCAGGCCGATTCCTACAGTGCTTCGTCGCTCTGTCTCGCTCGCACTCATTGGGCACCCGTAGGGGTGCGAGCGAGACAGAGCGGCGAAGCACCGTTCGGCATCAGACGACTGGCAGACACCCAAACAGACGATAGCCGCGCGCATTGTAATACACAATAAAAAGTAGGGCGTGACGTAACGAAAAACGAGAAACGAGAAAAATGCGCGGAATCGCCGAATTCCGTCCTCTTGGCCGTTTTGTGTTTTTCGTCGAGCGGCGCGCGACGCGCGAAACTACGCCGTTCGTTGAGGCGGAAAAGAAAAGGAGCGAAGACAATTTTGGAGGGAAGACAGAGACAAAGCGGTGACATTCAAGCAAGCAGGGCCCGTCTGTCTCTCTCGCACTCATGTGAGGGATAGTGTAGGTGGGAGAGAGATAGACCACGGAGTCACTCTGCAGACGGCGGTACGCGGCTGGCCAGCAAGATGGTCTGCAGATTGCTGCAAGGCCGAGGACCTAGCGGCAGCGGCCTAGCGACCTAGCGGCCTAGCGGCGTCGCCGGCCATCCATTGATTGATCCGTAGTCCGCGTCCAGTCCGCACGCGGCACGCGTCCAGCCGGCAAGGCGGCGGCGAGGCGGCGAGGCGCGTCCCGGACAACAACAGGTCGCGGCGCGTGGCGCGTGGCGCTCGGCTCCGCAGAACCCGATGCCAAGGCGAAGGACTCCGGTCGCTCCATTTCCCGAACGTGTCAAAAATTCGGAAACGTCTACGTGGCCGCCCGGACCGCCTCCGTGTTGTTGACACGGCGGCAGCTGCTTCATTCCGAAGTCCCTCTTCCGCACTCATGGGGCCAGTAGGGGTGCGAGAGAGACAGAGCACCGATCATTCGGGATCAGTGGCACGCGCACCGCCCATCCTTTCGGCAGCCACGCGCGCGCCGTCGTTACCGTCGCGTTCGCGGCACGCGCGAGGCACGCGCCCCGCCCCGCCCCGCCCCGCGCGTCACGGTGGCCGAGGTGGTCACGACGCGTGCCGCACCACATGAGACGACACAACAACATGGCCACGTGTCTCGTCGGCAACAACATAGCCGTCATCAGCAACAGTGCGGCGGTCTGGAGCCCCGCGGCCCCACGGCCTATGCGTCAGCGACGCGGGCCTCGGGGGCCGCCACCGCCAAAGGGCCCGTTGCACAGTTATGCCCACTGAGGCTCGCGCCGAAAAGCACGGACCACTCGCCGGATTGTGACTACAGGTCGACGTCACCGAGGCAACATGGGCATCAGGGGGGAGGTGCGGGGTGGCCCGGCCGACTCAAAACACGTTCCTGTACGTTGAATATAAAATGATAAACACCTCTTGATCGGGGGTATAGTATATGACGTTGTTTACCAACACGGCCTGGGCCTGGCTTGACTCTAACGCCGTAATATGCCGGCCACTTGCTCGCCTGCCTCTCCCCACCGCACCCCGCCCCGCCCCGCCCCGCGCAGATTGTATTCTTTCCTCGCTGACGCTCGAACGCTCGCGGCCGGGCCAGCCGGGCAGCCAGCAGAGTAGTTCCGAAAAGTGCTTTCGTCGGTCTGTCTCTCTCGCACCCTTACGGAGCGTCCCACGAGTGCGAGAGAGAGGCCTCCCACTCGGAATGAGTCTGCAGGGCAGCCAGCAGGGCAAAGCAGCCCATGGGGCCAGCCCATGGGGCCAGCGCGGCCGCCCGGTCATTCCCCTCTCGCCCCAGAGGTTTTTCGAATGGGCGGGGCGGGGCGGCGTCGCCGTGACGTCGCGTTGCGGAGCGTTGCGGTGCGTTCAGTACAGTCTGAGGAGGAATGTTCGAACATTCGAGCACCAGCCCTCTGGCTGCGCCTCGCGGACTCGCCCCGCCTCGCCCCGCCTCGCCCCGCCTCGCCCCGCCCCCGCATTGGCACATGTTTCTGCAGCTCGGGAAGTCCCAAAAGACCACGGCCCCGCGACGGGGCGTCGCGTCGCGCAGGGTTCCCGGGAAGCGGACGCGATCGGGAAACTCTCGGGTGAAAGGGGCGGCAGTGGCGTGGCCCTTGGTGGGGCCCTAGCCGTGCCTCGCCGGGGCGCGCGCCGTGCGGGACGTGCCGGGCCAGGATCAGCCAGGATGGGGCAGGATGGGCCAGGATGGGGCAGGCGGGCCGCGCTGCCGGCTCTAGGGCCGCGGGTAGGACGCTGGGCACGCGGGGCCCGCCTGATCGTTTTCGTCGCTCTGTCTCTCTCGCTCTTATACGGGACACTCCGTGAGTGTGAGAGAGAAAGCGACTCTCGGAATCAGTCTGCTAGCCGGTGGGCCCTCGCCTATTCCATTCCACTAACGACGCTCAAGTGAAAGATGGGTCAGGCCGGAACTCACCGCGCCAGCCCTGCCGGCCCCAGGCCGGCCCTGCCTGTCTGCCTGGCCGTCTGAATTGGACGGATGAGAATGGGAATGGGATGCGAGCGCAGGGCGCAGGCCGGGCCACCACACTATCGCCTCACGCCTCACGTCCACGTCCACGTCAGCGCACTGGGTCTGGGTCGACACGCCAAGTGTCATGGCGCCACACCTCCGTGACTTTGCGAAACGAGAAAGGAGGAACGTGACTGGCCAAATGTGACATTAAACCATTTGCGTGGCGCTGCGGCGCGGTGCGGCGCGGTGCGGCGCGGTGCGGTGGCGGCATGCAGGCCAGGGTGGGCAGGCTGCGGCCGCCTGCCGCCTGTGTCGCAAGGTGCAGTGCAGTGCGCTTGCCGGGGTGTGGCGGGCTGCGGCAATTCGGGTAGGCAATGCCGCCAAAAGCCCACACGGACGTGCGTAGTGCCGTGCGGGCCTCGGGGACCACCCTGTAGTATTCGCTGGATGTGCTGGCGCGATCGTGGTGCAATCTGGTGGCAATCTTGCGTACGTGCGCTAGTCCAACCTGCAGGGCACCGACCAGGGAACGTCCGCCCCGCCCCACCCCGCCCCACCCCACCAGGCCGGTCTCAAGTTCAGTGAACTGGGCCTGGCTAGGCCTGGCTAGGCATGCTAGGCCGGCTAGGCAAGAGCCCCCTCCTCTTCCATTCAGCGACGTTTCGCGTTCCGGGACCACCTTCAGCCGACTGATTCCGAAGGAACGTTTCGTCGCTGTGCCTCTCTCGCACTCACGGGGCGTCCCGCAGGGGTGCGAGAGAGACGGAGCGACGTGACGACCCCTCGGAATCAGTCTGCAGGCTGTCTTCAGGCTGCCTTCGGGCGCGGCTAGGCCAGGCAGGCCCGGCCAGGCCGGGCGAGAGGCTGGACCTCGGGCTGCTAGACCAGCTGGAGGAACGCGACGGGCCGGCTCAGCCAGGGCCCAGGCTCTGCAGGGACGGACGGCAACACACTGGAGAAAGAGGGGGACTGCCTCGTACACGCTGTTATCAATGTGTGCGTGTTTGCATCGACTTCTATCCAACCAACACACAGGGTGAGCCGCGAGCCCAGGCTGCGGCTTGCACCGGGCCGCCCGGCTGCCTACCTACTAGGCGCCATGGCCCGCATGGCCCGAGGGGGCAACCTCTCGAGAAATCCTGTGTCCCCTGGAGCCCTAGAAATCTGAGGAAATCCGAAATCTTTCCCGAAGGGCCCCTAGCGTTACCCTTTTCCTAATTTTGAGCTGACTTTGTGACGTCAAGTTGACGTTTCTGTTCTCCTTGGGACCGCCCGCTCCACCCGCTTCACCGTGTGGCTGGCTTTGCACTTTGCGGGGTTCGCAGTCGGCGAATGCAGCGGCCAGACGGCCTGGCACGGTCATCCGACTGGCCATCCGATTGTTCCAAAGCCATTGTGTTGATTCGATGGCGTCGCAGCGTCGCAGCGACAGGCCGCGCGCCTTGCGTCGCGGTCTTCATTGTGTCCAACGCCCTACTGGACCCAACCCTGCAGAGTACTCACTTCTCGTCTGTGTTGCAGAGCCGGAGCCGAGGCGCAAGGGCGTGCAGGACATCCCGGGTCCGTGGCCCCGGCTTCCAGTGCTGGGCACGCGCTGGATCTACTCGCTGGGCGTCTACAAGATGGACAAGATCCACGAGGCGTACAGGGGTGAGTAGGGGTGTGGTGTCTTCCAGGCTGAGTACGATCACTGCGTGTCGCATCTGCCTCTCTCTTACACCCTAACGGTCGAGTTCTAAGACTCTTCGGCTGACTCATGAGTGCGAGAGACAAGAGCGTCGAAAGCAGTGTTCGGAATGAGTGTGCTGTTTGTGGGCGCGCCTTGACGCGGTTCGTCTTCCTCGTGATGTTGGCAGACATGTTCGAGCGGTACGGCCCCGTGGTGCGCGAAGAGGCGCTGTGGCGGATCCCCGTCGTGTCCGTGCTCGAGCGCTCCGCCATCGAGACGGTGCTCCGCAGCTCCACCAAGTACCCCCTGCGCCCGCCCACCGAGGTCACCTCCCACTACCGGCGCTCGCGACCCGATCGCTACACCAACCTCGGGCTCGTCAACGAGTGAGTCGTCTGGAGGGAGGACAACTTGGACGCCCCAAGTCTGGTGCTATAATTTCATTGTTTCATTCATTCGTTCTTTTCTTTCATTTTTGAAGGCAAGGCGAAACGTGGCATCATTTGCGCTCCATCCTGACCCCGGAGTTGACCAGCGGCAAGACGATGCTGCGCTTTCTGCCGGAGCTCAACACCGTGGCCAGCGACATGTCCACCCTGCTCGCCACCAGCCGCGACGCCAAGGGGGTCATCCCCAAGTTCGAAGAGCTAGCCAACCGCCTGGGGCTGGAGAGTAAGTGCTCACTACATTGCTAAACAAAAAATTACAAAAAAATAAAATAAAAAAAATACTAACATATTTGGTTTTGGTTCATAACAGGTACATGCACGCTGATTCTGGGACGCCGTATGGGTTTCCTTGATGATAAAGTAGACCCTCAAGCTGCTAAGTTGGCTGCTGCCGTCAAGGTGCACTTCTGTGCGTCGAGAGACACATTTTATGGACTTCCCTTCTGGAAGGTGATGCCTACAAAAGCCTACAGGGAACTAGTAGAAAGTGAAGAGACCATTTATGAGTAAGTGACATTTAAAAAATAATTCCTGACACTGTATATAGTGTAACTCCTCACAATGAATACTTTTCCTTTCCAGCATAATTTCTGGTCTCGTGGATACTGCCTTGGCAGAGGAACAAAATACTGCACAGATAGATGCCGTTCAGAGTGTATTCCTGGCTGTACTTAATGCGCCTGGATTGGATATACGTGACAAAAAAGCAGCAATTATTGACTTCATTGCAGCCGGAATCCAAACAGTAATAAGACAGCAATCTTTCTGTTAATCTGTTTTGTTGCTTTATCTCTCCTAAAATTTATCTTAATTTTATTTTAGCTTGGGAACACCCTTGTGTTTGTGCTTTACCTGATAGCCAAGCACCCAAATGTTCAACAGCGACTCTATGAAGAACTTATTACGGCTGCACCTCCAGGAAGTCCTTGGACTGCTCAGAATTTACGTAATGCTCCTTATCTGCGAGCCTGTATCATGGAGGCATTCAGAGTTCTCCCAACCGCTCCATGTGTAGCAAGAATTATTGACACAGATATGGTGCTGAGTGGTTATCATTTGAACGCTGGAGTAAGTGATCCTCATTTTCGCTTGCCAATTATTTTTTTTTTCATATAAAAACCTGTCTTTAAAATGGTTGCTATAATTTATTTTTTTCTTCCAGTCGGTTGTACTGTGCCATACATGGCTTGCTGGCTTGAAAGAGAGTAACTTCCCAGCTGCGCATGAGTATAGACCTGAAAGGTGGTTGAATGGTGGCCCAGGGTCCGCTGCAACTTTCTTGGTTCTACCATTTGGCTGTGGCCGGCGTATGTGCCCTGGGAAACGATTTGTTGAGCAGGCCCTGCAAGTTGTCGTAGCACAGGTAAAACCATACATTTATTAATTGCTTGCCACAAAAGATGATGAATTGAGTTAATTAAAAATATTTTTTCCTCTGGTTTGCAGACTGTTCGTGATTTTGAAGTAGGCTTTGATGGAGAATTGGGTCTGCAGTTTGAATTCCTTCTTTCACCTCAAGGGACAGCAAGTTTCTCATTCTTGGATAGAGTTTAGCAATTGCTGAAGTAGCACTAGTAGTTTGTGGTTTGTGACTCCTGGTCACTAATTTCTGCTATTGTCCTTTCCGACCTCATGAGCTGCAGTTAAAGCTTTTGAGAAGTAATGCATTCCTGCTTTGTCATTATTTTTTATTGGGAATAAGGATTAATGATTTTCTGAAATTTATTTGTCTGTATTAGCTGAAACTTTGGAAACCAGTTAAAATTTCTATACTATTTCAAGCAACGAGAAGGGAAGGGAAATATTGGTTTCACAGCAATTTGTGTAGCATATTTCTGATTGGGAAGTTAACTGATGACAAATGCCAAAGAATATTTATTTAAATTAAACTGGCCATACTTTTAAGTACTGTTTGCCTTATTTTCATAAAACATTGCTGTTACTAGTACTTATAGTAATGCATCTTACTCTCCTCGGTCGAGGAAACATTTCTGTGGTCCTTAATATGACGTACAAAATGGTTAGTTACAGCTGTATCTTGTAAAGACATTCGACAGCAATGAGTACTGATATTGTTTTATTGCCATGTGACATATGTGTAAAAATGTAAAAGCCTGACTGTAACTCTTTCCATTTATTTCATTATTTATGTGTGATTTATTACGTGCATCTTTTAGGCTGTGTAAAGAAAGACAAAGTGGCATTATTATGTTAAAAATTGGTCGTTATTTTGACCAATTTTTCTACATAAATTATGAATTTGTTCCCTTTTGGTTGTGTTATTGAAGATGACAGACTGCATCACTTACAAGCTCAGTGGGCTATGGTCATGATTTTGTGAGGAATGTGGAGTACCTGATAGTATTTTTATCTACTTAAAGTGTAGCAGTAATGTTTTTCCCCTGCTATTCACTCTCTGAATGTTTTTAATGACTTTTCAAGAAGCTCACGACTATAGTTTAAAGCCACAGTGGAGCCAAAGTGATTCTTTGAGTTCATGAACTAAAATATGTGGAATTTCACAATGCAGATCATTTTATTATATATGAAGGTTTTAAAAGTTATTTAAAATTTTCTTTTTAGTGTACTTGACTGTGACATCCCATTAAATTTGGCCTAGTGAATTTTATCTTCATTTTAAACAATTTTACATATTATTGATTTAATGCAATGCCCTGATGTATTTTTAAATTATGTGCTGTTTGCTGCTTGCCAGGTATTTTACAATTGGCGCGTAGTTTACTTGTTGGGCAATATCGGTTTATGCTGTTCATTGCTTCGTGATTTTATTGTAAGTTTATATTAGTTGTAAAGCAAATTCGTGATGAAATCTTGTTATTTATGTGTTAAGATACTAGAATTAAAGATCTTTGCTCAGATTAACGATAATTCAGTAATTTCCCCTCCTCCATGCTCGCACTTACTTATTTTAATAGGTGTTGAATAATGGCTTTGCCTTAGCAAGCAAGTCCATGGCATTGCCAGCTTGCCCATTTCACCCAAATGCGTTCTTTAGTAAAATGTCGAACAGAAAAACCATGAAAACAGAACTGTTTGATTGCTCAAGAGAAGCATTAGAGATTGAGATGACTGATTCAACTCTTCAATCTGAATGTCTCCCACCCATAATGTGTGTCAGACTTGCTAGTCCAATCGAACTATAGGGGAAGGTTGATTGAGGTAAAGAAACAATTTGTGGGAAAGAAAGCTTTTTATTCTTAAGTCAATTGTGATTTGTACAGTTCTAAATCAAATTTAAGTGAACCTTATCTCAGGAGGGGGCGAAAGAAAAAAAAACTACATGCGAGAGGGCAATGATAAAAGCATGGGAACTGAACTTTGCTCATAATTAAAAAAAGGTTTACACAGCAATGATTAAAAAAATTCTTACTTTACTATCAAGTTACTAAGCCAGCTGCTCCTAGGCTTTGGAAGTTAGAGGAAGGCTTTACAAAAGTATTACCCAGAAATGCACCTCTACAAATTCTAATACTCAACATTCATTGGGAATGGCAAGATCTAGAAAAAGAATGGGACAACAATTTTGTACACTAAACTACACACGTACCACCAAAACCTTTCACATGGAAAACCAAGAAATTACATGCTAAACAAAGTAATCAGAATAAAATTTTTTGGAATTGTCATAGATGTCTGATTAATACATTATATGTATCAAGCCATTCATATCCAAAACTTGGAAGAGTGTAAATTAGTTCAGTCCTCTTCTTTCTTGATGTCTTCAGGTGATTTGTCACCATTGTCCTTGGGAGACATGCTGCGAGACTTGGATCTGCCTTTGCTTGGAGAGCGTGAGCGAGAACGATCCCGTTCCCTGGGTAAAAGAAAAAGAAAAGCACAAGATTAGAGAAGGCACTGACAATGCACAAGACGATCCTTTAGATAGAGGTGGTCTCTACTACAGCGGCAAATTAACATTGCACCTTTTACAAGAGATAAAGCACATAGCTTCATTCCGGTGGGCAATAGATAAAGACTAGAATACCTACCAAGGCAACATGCAAACTGTCATGCAGTTACAGTATACAGGTTGCAAATACATAAATAGGGGGAGACCACCTCCACAAGGCACTAGACCCGCCAGGGCAATACTTACTTGGATAGAGATTTGGCCTTGGACTGGGATTTTGAGTGAGACCGGGAGCGGGACTTTCTATCCTTGATAGGGGATCGGGACCGGGACCTTGATCGGGAGTGAGCCGACCGCGCAGACCGAGATCGCGACCTGGACCGGGATTTTGACTTTGAGCGCCCCCTGGATCTGGCAACAACAACAATCCCCGTTTTAGACAGTGTCTTGACAACAAACATGGGAAAACAAGCAGGAAAGGCCAGGCCTCCTCCGGCATGACTCCAAACCAACCCTCCCGCCCCCTCAACAAAACTGCTTTCAAGAATTGGGCAATTTCATAGGGGACAGGATTGAGGTAGAATTTACAGGTTAGCAAATACATGGCCTACATTACTGCCAAGAGGAACCAAGTTCAAAGCAATTATGCATGCATCAAGACATGCACAGATCAGATAGAATGCTAATATTGATGGTATATTTATATTTATTCCCACTTTGGAGAGAGATAAGACAATTTATAGACAACAAGTAAAACAGTTAAGAATTATAAAGCAATCCAGACAATTTCTATATCACTTAAGAAAGCGAAGACAGACTAATTTGAAAGCAGTTCAAAGTGAAGGACATCTTATTTTAATGATGAAGTATCCTTCAGGCATATTTAAAGTGAAAAAGATGATCAATCTGGTTCCATGGTAAGAAATTTTAGTTAGAGATAGGTACAGGATAACTCTACTTACTTGGATCGTGATCGAGACTTGGACCGTGATGCAGACTTGGACTTGGATCTGCTTCGGGAGCTTCGGCGGCTGGAGGGTGAGAAAGGTGTGATTTTTTGATCTGTTTTATTCCACAATGAAGATGTGATAGAGAGCTTTGAGATAGTTACCTGGACCTGGAGCGAGACCGCCTACGAGATCTGGACCTTGACCTGGATCTAGACCTTGAAGACGATGACCTAGTCCTTCGTCTACGGCGGTCTTCAATCAGGCGAATTCTCCTTCCATTCAGTTCTGTGTCATCAAGTTTCTCAATGGCTGTCTTCATGTCAGAATATGAAGCAAATTCGACAACACTGAAAAACAGAAATGAAGTTATGAATGTCAACACAAACTTGAAACATAATTACGAAGTTACATTTATTTGAATTGATCCCTCACCCTTCATTCCTCCTTTGCTTGTGGGCATCAGCATAAGTAACTTCTCCTGCTTGACGCATATAGTCCTTGAGGTCCTGTGAAGCATTCACAAAACTCATATTAGAGTGTAACAACCAACATTTGAAAAAAACCCTACATAATCCTGATTTAACTGTACTAATGAGTTCTGGCAAATTGAGACTGAAATATTATGCCAAATATGAATAATTGAGAACCGGTGAACCAACACCAATATTTATGGTGCCAGAAAGTCAGCTTCCGGGACAATAAACATCCCACTGAAATTCTGTTACAATTGTTAAGGTACTCATCCTATTTCAAACAGCCAAATATTTAACCTGGAAACCAGAGAGCTCACAAGGTGACTAAAATGTTTGTTTTGAATGGCAAATCATAAGGCAAAAAGCTTATTTACAGTGCTGATCAACTAGGCCCTGATTAAATCCCTGACCGATTCCATGTCCAAAATTAAGAGCATGACAGACAGACTGGCTAGGAGAAAAATAAAACAGGAGTTCCATCTTCTTGAGCAAACTTAGGCTCATCAATACATCAACTGGTGAAGACGCCAAAATCCTGGTGATCCAAGGAGTCTTCTTATTTTCCTTCTGGTTTGACACACAAAACCACGCCCGGCAGATGGCATCATCTTGAAGCATGCGAAGACCAGGAAATCTCCAAGGAGGGACGCCGTATCCAGGCACCCAAGGAGTCTTCTTACATTCCTTCTGGTTGGACACGCAAAACCACGACCGGCAGAGGGCATCATCTTGAAGCATGCGAAGACCAGGAAATCTCCAAGGGGGGCTGGATCCACACATCCATCCTTCCATGGCATGGTTCCTGAAGATCCGATACTTCTTGAGGCTCGATGAGTGTCAGGGCAGGCACCAAACAAGTCTTCATGGTAAATCAGGAGTGTAAAAGGTGTTCAATTTGAAGAAACAAAAAAAAAGTGGGGGAAAAAAACAAAGAGTAGCTAACTATGACAGAAAATTCCCTTGCAGCAAGGTTCATTGAACATTCCCTCTCTAGGAAAACAGAATGCAGCAAGGCTCTTGGTTAAATTTTGGATATTGCGAAGCCTTTGCTTTGAAAGAAATGAAATCAGATTTGGACAAAATAAAAAAAACTAAAACAAGGTACAAATAAGTTATAAAAGAGGAAGTTTAGTAAAGCAAGTTCCAAGAGAGGGGACTTAAATGAACTGTCATTCCTGACTTCTAGCTTCTTTTAAAGCAAAAAATCAAGATGTCTTAGCAACTAATTTTGGACATGGACTTATCACACAGTATAGCCTGTGCTCAACTAATTGTATAAAATGATTTATTTTTAAATTAAAAATTGAGCATGCTAGACCCCTAAAATGTAAGATGGTCGTTGAACGGTGTGTTTACCTTGCGACCCGGGACCCAGGCCGCGGGGGGAAATCGAGCCACACACACCAGAGGGGAGGAGAGGAGAGGTCCTGCAGACGGGTGCCTGCACCGTTGCACCGCCCATACCAACATCTACGAGAAACCGTGAGCCGAAGCCGTCCCGTCGCCTTGCCCTAGAGTCTTGGCCGCGTCCTGCCGGATGCCATGCCGCCACCAGCCCCATCGTGGAACGGATCGGATCGGCGAAGGGTTGGATGGTGAATAGGCACGCCTCGGCACGCCACGCCTCGCCGGTACGGCACATCGCCAGCCCCTGGCAGGATCGGGCCGGGCCAGGCAGGCCAGGCCCCAGGACGGAGGCCCCGGAGGCCCCAGGCGCCCCAGGCCGGACGGAGGCTCCAGGCCGGACGGACGGACGGCGGCGGAGCCAAGCACGGAGCTGGGGGTCAGGTCCTTGGACGCTCGCTTGGCTCGCCTCGAGCTCCACCACGCCACCTCTCTCATAGCATCGAGTCATTAGGAAGCCCTACTGCGTGACTGCGTGGCTCAGGTCATCCCTCCAAGGAGAAGCCAAGGCTCTTTTGGAAAAAACACGCCAAAGTTTGTTTCGTTTTACAACAATCGTTCAAATGTGTGCATACCATGAAGTTGAGCTGAGTGAGACACCAATTTAAGTTAGACCAAGATAATTCAATTCACGCTGAGATCCAAGACAAATTACATGAAAGCGAGACAAGATTTCTTTGGCATTGAAACTTAAGATGGCTCAACATGTTTCAAGTAAGGGAGAAGTCATGATCAGTAAGATTAAAACAATGTTAGTCTCACTCAGCTACACAAATCACCATAACAACCAGTAAAACACTAGTTGATCTATGACAAAATCATCCTATTCCATTAATGAGGAAATTTCCTGCATTCCTCAAAGAATGAAAAGCTCGTTCCTAGAAGATTCGGCATTTCTTGATCTTATCCAGTGTGACCCTTTTCAGAATGTTGATGAAACAGGCTGCATGATATGATTTTAAGGTTGAAGAAAAGTAAGTGCTTACCTGCCAGCTGACCCTGCTAGAAAGGTTCTCCACGGTAAGGCGGTACTCTGTTCTTGTTGGGGGACCATATCTGAAACACAGCAAAAAGTACATTTACGCTATCCTGAGGTGCCAAGCATTTAATTCCAAATAATTAAATGATTTTTAAAGCATCCGAATGCTGAGAAACTTAAAATGAAATCCGTAGCCATGACTATGAAGAGTTAAATTATTAATATGGAGAACTGGCAGGAAGTCAATTAGGATAGAAGATACCAAAATTATGCACCTCAGGAAAGAAAGTGAAAGCACTACTAAATTTAAGTTAGGCAGAGAAAAAATAGAAATTCAAATCATTCCATAACAGAAAACTTAGTTTTCAAGAAAAAAAAAAGTATACCATAGCTTTATCCTTCATGTTACACAACACATTTCGGCATGCAATAGATACTTAAGTAGGTGCAAAATAGAGCAAATCAGGGGTAGAAGGGTGAGTATGTCAGAACATGCAGTTCAAAAAGTATTAAGTCAGGATTTGAATACTGTAGTTAAAATGATTAGAGAGAAATTAAATCTCCTAAAAAAGGAAAGGCATGCATTAAGTAGGTTTAAAAAGAAAAGATAGGACTGAAAGGCTGACTACAATTCATCACACGAGTGACACTCCGAGACCAAATATTGGCTTCAGTGCAAATTTAACTACATTGAAAAATTATAAGCAGTTCAGAAACTTGACACGGATCTTAAACCATTGCAATCAAAAAAATTCGAAGAGCCTGAACCAACAGGTATTCAAAATCTTTACCTGTCAGACATCCGGTGATCGTTATCGCGACTGAAAGTGAGAAAAATATAATTAGGACAGTAGCGCAAAATTATCATCTAGTGTAATTGAAAGTAATTTAAAAAAGAAAAGGAACTGATACAAAAAAAAAAAAAAAGCTAAATTTGAGTGGATAGTTCATCCAGCTATGCCAAATTACATTGCATGCGGAAAAAGTCAAACTGAATATAAAGGAGTTCGAGGTCAAACAAAAAATAATAGTACTGAAGCCAACCCTGAATGCCACTCCCCACCCTTGCTACCCCTTCCTTTCCACCAAACCTCCAGCGAGCTCTCCTCATCAACGTCATCGCATCGTTCGTTCGTCCATCTATCCGCACGGCTCGCTTACCCCCGGCTTCGCCCTCCCGAGGAGACAGGGGGCGGGCCAAGACTGCGGCCGCTACCGCTCCCCCTCCAGATGTCGCTACCTCTCGGAGTTCCACGTGCCCTCTCTACAGATACTCTGCAACAACAATGGGACGCTCTGCTCAGCTAACCTGTCTGCCCAGGAGCGTCGACGGCCGTAACTCCCAACTCCGCCATGTCGGTCCCGGGCACGGGCAGTGCCCCTCGCATGCTCGACAATCACTCTGCAAACACAGAATATTCGCCGACATTAGCGCAAGCTGCCTCCACTGCGCCACCCAGCTGCATCTAACCTGCACACAGAATCGCAAACGACAGAGCACATGCAATACATGGAACTAGGAGATAAGACCAAAATAAACAAAATACATCATGCAGAACATGGATAAAACAGATTCACTTGGCTAAAGAGGAAAACATGACAGCAGACCTGGGCACAAGAAACATTAACATGTCAACAAGAGAGAAACAAGTTAACACACAAGTCACAACAGTCGATAAACAGATTCAGAACACTCTTAGACTAAATTTTAGGGGTCACAACTGAATTCAAAACGTACCGTTCTCCTAAAAGTTCCTTGCCGTTCAGCTCGTACACAGCATCGTCAGCATCCCGATGATCATCAAATTCCTAAACAGAGACAAAACTCGATTAAAAAACACCAACATAGAGAGATAAGGGGCACAATAAGAACAGATACATACGACAAAGGCAAATCCGTTTTTCATGGCTATCTCCTTAATTCTGCCATACTTTCTGAAGAACCTCTCCAAATCTCGTTCCCTAACTCGGTAGGTCAGGCCTCCCACAAAGACCCTTGTACCCATTCTGCAACAAATAAAGAGTCAGAAACAATGAGGAACACACACTGACATGAAACGACAGGAAGAGCGGAATAAACAGCCCTGAACGAAGCTCGTTGGCTCGCTGGTGCTGCCTATTGGGCTCTGACGGCGGCCTAGGCCGCGAAAGCCGGCTTCTATAGACGCTACAGGCGGGACGTCGTACGCCACCGCATTGCAGCTCCGAACACAAATAAAGGCTCCCCTTCCACGGCCCGCTGAATCGGCAAGGTGAAATAGGTCGCGGGCGATGTAGGGGTACAAGAGTACGATTTTGGTGCGAAATTAACGCACGATAACAGAAATGGCGACAGCCGAAGCGCAAACGATACCGAAAACAGGGAGGGTTGACCGGCTTCAACTTGGAAATACGCTGACGTTGGAAGGATGAAGTTCAGAAAATTGTAGTATAAAACGTACATACCTGGTTCTTGATAGTAAAAACCGGCCTCAAGAGTTGGGAAAACTAAAACTATACACAAAAACAGTGAGTTTCAGAGATCCCAAGTGTCCAAGGACGCCATGCACGAACTAATGACCGGAAACAGGACGAACGGGGTCGACAAATCACGGATTCCACTGCTGAAGTCAACAGCCATCCAGTTTTTCGCATTGTCGCAAATATAAGGCATTTGAAGAAAATAAAGAAAAACGTTACGAAACGGTAATTTTTAAAAACTGTTCGTTTAGTTTTTCTTGCAGTTGTATTCACGAAAGGTCCTCCATAAGAAAAATATGAACTGCAAAGTTGACCGGAACTCCCAAAGTAGTCGGCACACAGTCTCCAACCCAAAAGTGTATTTACATTTGCCCTGCTCAAAAGCGGAACCTCATATATTTCCAAGTCCTCTAAAAATATGTGATACCGACCTTATTGATGATGTTGAAGCTATCAAATAAATGTACCCGAGTCGAACTCCATGCACCTACAGATTTATTATGTCACGATTAAATTTGAACTACAGAAGTAATGTCAATAATGGCGGTCGCCGTCATCCTGGAACCTTGCATTAAAATCAACATGGCCAGGATTCTCTGTGATCGGGTGGAGACAGACACTGCACAGCCCGTGACTGATGCATTCACGTGCTTAAATCTCAAATTATCTTGAGATAAGGGTGCTGTTGGACCCAGGTGAAGTGTATGCCGCATCCTGGAAGCAGCCTCCGTTGGCTGGATTTATGCAGGTTTACCGGTTTCCAAATAAGTAAATGCAGATAGAGGTGGAGGTCGGGCACTTGCCTTTATTTTTATGCCGCCCGCCCAATCGACAAATCCAAAGGTACGATAAGGATTGTCTCCTTGAATAATTTATTTCGCTTTTAATTCTCATGGGAGGAGCCGAAATCCCTGATTCCGGCAGGTTAAGGCAACAAGCAAATACATTATTTTCCTGATTTTCTCTGCTAGTAAAATACTTTTATCCACTGTCAGCGATGGTCACGCATTGGGAATTGCAGAAGGAAACGCCTCGTGGTGATTGCCACGCGTGACATTAAAAAGGGCCCGGGTTATGCAGATAAAATCAGTCTTATTTTCATGCCATCATTCATTTGAACACAATTGTTAGAAGCAGACAGTGGTAAACATAACCTATACAACAGATCTGTTCTCTGCTCATATCTTTTTGTAGATCTTTATTTTTGTCTAAAATTTTTAACACTTTATAATTTATGTTTTATTCTATTGCATGAAGCAGTCTTTGCTCAAAATTGTACTGTCAGAGCCTTAGAATCAAACTTTTGTGATTGTTGATTTGTACGATCTAAACTTGATTGTTTCATTTAATTTTGAAGACACAAGTTGGCACATATCACCTTTAAGCCAACATTTTCTTATTTTTTTCATATCAGTTATGAGCCTTGTAATTTTTTTTGTTTCATCTCAAGAAACTATCAACAATCTCCAATTATTTGTTTCAGACAATGTCGTCGACACCAGCCAGTAACATCTACTCTCACTCATGAGGGAAACAAGTATTGGAACGATGATAAACTCCATAAATCCAGCCAAGCCGGAAATTCAGGCTGAAATGAATTCAACAGAAATAGCAAAGCCCCTCCATCTCCAAAAGCTGGATCTTTCTCTGGACGTTCGACCATTCTTGTCTGAGGTCACGAAAATTTTTGAAAGTCCTGCTAGGTTTGTGTTTGTTTTTTTTGTTCTAAATTTATTTTCGCATTTTAACTGTTCTTCTAACTAATAATGCTGTCTTTTTCCTCTAAATTTTAGTGATGCTGATTCCAGTGACTCTGAAACAGATACAGGCGGCAGGGAGGCTTCTAAAATTAATGGTGAAAAATTATACAATGGAATTCCAACATCAAAACAAGGTAAGGTTTTACTGTCTTTGAGCTTCCTATTCTCATCTTTGATAAACCTTTGGTGATAATTCCCCATTGCCTTGAAACATCTAGAAAGGAAATCAGACAAGCTGAGGTTGTATAACTTTTCCCAACTATCTGGAGAAAGGGAGTGGTTAAAGGATGTTCTCATTAGTGATTCTGATGACTCGGATTGTGACGAAAATTGGAATGTTGATGAGCACATTAAACACATGCTTTACTACCATCAACTCAGGCGGAAGTATCAGAAGAAATATTACACCAATCCTGATGTAAGTTGGAAAACAACAACTAAAGACATAAACTTGAAATTTTTATGAGTTTTTTTATGTCTTTATACTTTTTTTATTTTTATCAAATTTTAACATTCCCTTTCAGAATATGCAATACCAGTACTATGGGGCAGGTCTTTTGTCAAATTTTGACAAATTCAGTGAACATCAGAAGGCTGTCATCGGTAACCGCAAGAAAAAGAAGAAAGAAAAAGTAGAGGTGAAAAAGAGGGGAAGAAAACCAAACAAAGACAAAATCATCCATTCTGCCTTTAATGTTAGTCATTTTTTTCATTTTTGTTTCTTTGTCTCATCTTTTTGAAAAAATTGTTGTTGATCTTATATTTTTGGTTCATCTTTTCAGGAGTCAGATCTATCTCATCTAAATGAGGAAGAGCGTAACTTGTTGCGCAAGCTGAGAATTGAGGAGTCAGGTCCTGCGGAAACTGGTAGAGCACCTCGTGGTCGTAAAAAGAAACAACCAAACAAAAGTCCAGAGGTTATGGCTCAGCGCAGGAGAAAAATATGGGCTGTCATGGCAAAGAAAGAATTGGGGAAGGTATGATTTCTTGTTTTTTTTTCCCCTTGTCTTAATTTTCCATTTCCTTTGGAATTTTATTTGATACTCAACCCTGGATATGATACTTCAGGTACAGAGGGCAAAAGCCAATAACCACAAGGAGCAACTTACTACTTGCCGTAGAGTGGCTACCTATTGTATGCGGCACTGGCGGCAAAAAGCCATGCAGTCTCAGAAGAACATGAAGGAAACGGTATGGCGGCTAAAACGCTTGACCCGAGAGATGCAGTCTTATTGGAAGCGATATGACCGTGTTGAAAGAGAAACCCGACGCCGAATGGAAAAAGAGGCTGAAGAGCAACGAAAAATGGATGTTGAATTAATGGAGGTAAAAATTGTACATATAAGTGGTGCTCGCATGGCATATTCAAATACTGTATTCACTTCCAATGTCTGTTTTTAGGCAAAGCGTCAACAAAGGAAGTTAAACTTCCTCATCACTCAGACAGAGCTTTATGCACACTTCATGTCTAGAAGATTTGGTTCAATAGCAAGTCAAGAGCAACTAAGAATCCTTAGTCAGTTGGATGAAGAGAAAAACCCGAGACTACAAGCTGTTGATGACTATGACAGGTACCTATTTGTCATTTATGATACCGTCAATCTGATGGTCATTTGGATTTCATTCTACCTGTTTCTATCTACATTTTTTATTTCAGTGATGTCATGAAATCAAAAGTGAAGCAAAATGTAAGTCAAGCATTCCGTGCAGAACAGCAGCGGACTAGAAAATTTGCTCCATCATCAGGTCAAGCTCAGGCACAGGCAGATTCAGCTATAGAAAATTCTTTCAATCCTCAAGAAGAGCAGCCACAACCACTCATGTTCAAAGGAAACTTGAAACACTATCAATTGAAGGGATTAAGCTGGATTGCTAATTTGTATGATCAGGGTATCAATGGTATACTTGCTGATGAGATGGGTCTTGGGAAAACTGTCCAGTCAATCGCTGTTATGTGTCATGTTGCTGAAAAATATGGCATATGGGGTCCTTTCCTAGTGATTTCTCCAGCTTCTACCCTACATAATTGGCAGCAAGAAATGGCTAGATTTGTTCCTGATTTTAAAGTTGTGCCATATTGGGGTAGCCCTCAGGAAAGAAAAATCTTGAGAGGTTTTTGGGATCAAAAAGATATGCATACTAAAGAAGCTAGTTTTCATGTTGTGATAACTAGTTACCAGCTTGTTATTCAAGATTTCAAGTACTTCAATCGAATCAAGTGGCAATACATGATCCTGGATGAAGCTCAAGCTATCAAGAGTACAAGTAGTGTGAGGTGGAAGTTACTCCAGTCATTTAGTTGTCGTAATAGGCTGTTGCTCAGTGGGACCCCAATCCAGAACAGTATGGCTGAGCTTTGGGCCCTGCTTCATTTCATAATGCCCACATTATTTGATTCACATGATGAATTTAATGAATGGTTCTCAAAAGATATTGAGAGTCATGCTGAAAACAAAACTGCAATGGATGAAAAGCATCTCACTCGTTTGCACATGATCCTAAAACCATTCATGCTTCGAAGAATCAAGAAGGACGTTGAAAATGAACTTTCAGACAAAATTGAAGTGATGGTTCATTGCCCTTTGACAACTCGTCAGAAATTATTGTATTCAGCTCTAAAGAAGAAAATTCGTATAGAAGACCTGCTTCAAACTTCTACAGGATCGTCTCAGTCTGCTCAAAGTGTGACATCTAGTCTTATGAACCTTGTCATGCAATTTAGAAAGGTATTCTTTCATTCAATTCCCTTTGCTTCTATGTGTGTGTGTGTGTGTGCTTTTTATAGGATTTTTAATCATTTTATATTAATACAATTCTGCTTTCATTTTAGGTTTGCAACCACCCTGAGTTGTTTGAGAGAAGAGAGGCTAGGTCTCCATTATTTATGCGCTGTGAATCCTACATTATTCCAAAACTAGTAGCTGAATATGGCATTTTGCATCATAGTATTCCAAGCAAAAGACACCTGCTCCTCAATCTTCTTAATATATTTACTTCTGAGTACCTTCACAACAGTCTTTATTCAACCGCAAGATCTCAAGGAAATGGTAACAACACATGGATGGTCATTCTTTCATAGGTCAATCTCATTTCACACTGGAATGCATCCCTGACGTTTTTCCTCTCTTGTGCATTTCAGAATATAGCAGTGGCACTTTTGGATTCATGCGAGTACTAAATTTAACTCCACAAGATCTTCACAGTATTGTACATTTTGGTATCTTGGCCATGTATGTAAAACTTTGTTTCTTCATATTTTTTGTGTGATTGACTAAGCTACTTGCATATTTATCACAAACTTATTTTCAGGTGGCAATTCATGTGGCGGACACATCGAGAAGCTGACCTGGCTTGTCATGAGCAACAGTGGAGCGAAGTTGAAGAGGCCTCTTGTAGTCCCTGGAGTTTTCAAAGGAGAAGAACACAGTTGCTTGTGAATTACAGTTTGCCCTTTGCACCATACTATTTGAGGACTAGCTCTTTTCTCAAGGATTTTGTTTTTACTGGCATGACATCTAGTCAAAGCACTGTCTATACACACACACTTCATACATACCACTCAATACCTGAAACTGTTGAACATCGGCTTCTTCGCAGCAAAAAGGTTAAACCAGTTGCTCTAATTGAAGTGAAGACAGAACCTGGAACACCCTTGTCACCAACTAAAGTGTCTCCTCGCAATCCTTTGGGAAGCCCTTCCAAGGTAGTTGTTTTTTCTTCTATCTTTTAGAAAGCTGATAATTCTCTCTCTCAAAAGCACTTATTTAAACTTAATTTGTTACATTGTCCAGTTACCTCGTGGTGTGAGCGCAGCTTCTAATATGGCAGGAGAGAATTTTCCAGGAGGGAAAGTAACACTTCTTCCTGAATTTCCTCACATACCTAGGCCACCTCTCAAAGTGGAATGTGCACAGACATCGATGCCATCTTTCCTCTATTATACAAGTCCAAAGGTTTTTGATTTTACCTACCACCTCATTAAAGTTCTAACTACTCGCAGACCTACCTTGACATCATGCTTTTCTTTTCCCTTGCAGATAACTGTTCGCAGCCGAAGTATGTTTGCCAGTAGCAGAGCAGCTGCTTGGCATCAAATTCAACATGACAGCTGTGGAAATCCGGAAGCAAGAGAAGTGGTTTGGCTTGGACAGCCTAGTATAGCTGAGCAGGTAGCAAAAGCCAAAGAGTATTTTGTTCCAACAACACCTGGCGGTCTAGTTGGCTCAGCTCCACCATTTGGATGGTCAAGTGTTTTGATCCCAGGTGAGTTCTCATCTTATATGCTCAACTTTGGCTCATAGCATTTCTTGTTTTCAAAGATTATGATTTACTACTTTATATTGAATCTATTCCCTACAGACAAACAGATTCTAGTCACAGATGCTGGAAAGTTGTATGTTTTGGATGGGCTTCTGACACGGTTGAAAGAGCAAGGCCACAGAGTACTTATATACTCTCAGATGACAAAAATGATTGATCTTCTGGAGGTACTTACCTGGCTATGTAGAATTTTTTGAGTATTGTGTTATAGAAATGTTAAAAAAAATAATAAAATTGTGTTTTCCTTTTTTTTTTTTTTTTTTTTTGTTTGTTTGTTTTGGTAGGAGTATATGTGGCACAGAAAACTCACATACATGAGGCTTGATGGTTCATCTAAAATATCAGAACGCCGTGATATGGTTGCTGATTTCCAAGCAAGGTCAGTCTAAGTGCTTTATGAAATATTTATGCTTGTATTTTATATCTCATTGGGTTATAATTATCAATTTTTTTTCAGGAATGACATTTTTGTCTTTCTCTTGAGTACCAGGGCTGGAGGTCTAGGAATTAATTTAACAGCGGCAGACACTGTGAGCAATCATGACACTTTCAATTTTGGTTCAGGACGGTTTCTCACCACTCACAACTGATTATTTCATTTGTTTTTCTCATTTTCTTCCAGGTTATTTTCTACGACAGTGACTGGAATCCCACTGTTGATCAGCAGGCTATGGATCGAGCTCATCGCTTAGGTCAGACAAAGCAGGTGACCGTTTACCGTCTCATTTGCAAAGGATCAATTGAGGAACGAATTCTGCAGAGAGCAAGAGAAAAGAGTGAGGTATGATCAACAGACCACACGTTCCTTTCTATCCTCCTTGAATTTTCTGAATTTGCTCTACCCTAGCATAACTTTTTTTTTTCTTGGTGTATGGTTTAGATTCAGAGAATGGTCATCAGCGGAGAGCAATTCAAACCGGACACACTAAAACCCAAGGAAGTGGTTTCCTTGTTGTTGGATGATGATGAAATTGAGAGTAAATGTAAGAAATGATAAAAGAAAGTTCCAGAAAAATTTTCTTGTGATTTGCCTAGGGGTGACTGACATTTCTCTCTCTCTCATCCGTGGAACAGACCGCCAGAAGCAGCGGGAGCGGCAGCAGTACGAGGAGCTCCGCGAGCGAGAGAAGAAGAGGCGCTTCTCGGGGCTGCCGAGCGCAGACGGCGGGTCGCCGTCGTCGCCGTGGAGCAAGCGAGCCCGCCTGGACGGCGCCGAGGACACGTGGGTCAACGTGGACTCGGACCCCAACAGCCCCGCGCCGAGCGAGGTGAGTCCCTCTCTCCCTGTCTGCTGTCCTTCCCTTTATTTGGCGGTGCTGCGGAGTGTTGATGCGATTGGTTTGTTTGCCTGCTCAGAGCTCACTCACTGCCACCGGTCCTCTGGACGACAAGATAGACACGCACATCATGATGTATGACAGGCCGGTAGTCAGCACAGGTACGTCCACCTCCGTCTTTCTTTGGGCTGTGGCCATACTTAAGGTCAAAGGGACAAAACTAATCGAATATCTTATTTTTTTCGGTTCAGCAGTCCGACGCTCTGGGAGGGGTGGACGCCGAGGCAGACCGAGGGGCGTACGAAGGGGCGCCGGAAGGGGTCGGATGGACTCCGGTGTCGTGGCTTCCATCGTCGGGGAGATGCCCAGCTCTCCCGCGCCGTCGCCCGCTCTGTCCGCGACGTCGTCTCCAGTGCCGTCGCCCGCTCTGCCCGCGGCGACGCCGTCAGCGCCGCCAGTGCAGTCGCCGGCGCCGTCCTCCGCCGCGGGGGAGGCCGCTACGCCGGTGGCGTTGACGTCGCCAGCACCCAGCACCCCCGCGCCGCCCGCGCTGCCCGTCCGCCGAGGGCCGGGCAGGCCGCGCCTCAAGCCGGGGACCAAGCCCGCCAACACGGGGACCAGGGGCACGGGGGCCAGGGGCTCGGGGGCCAGGGGCACGGGGACGAGGCGGCCGCGGAGGCCCGTGCGGCCCCTGCCGGTGCCCCTCGGCCGTGTCACCTCGCAGCAGCCGCAGCTCGGCCATCAGGCCCAGCAGGCCGGCATCGGCTTCTACACGCAGCGGGACATGTCCTCGCAGGACTAAGGCTCATGATGGGAATTCCACTGAGTGATTCCACTCTGATTGTTACAATTTTAGTTATTTACATGATTATGATGTACATTTTTTGTCACACGGCTGGGTTTGTCTGTCTTGCCAGAACTCAATTTAGTAATTTTGGGCCAATTTGATAGGTCTTCATCAATACATGTTTTTGACTCACCAGCATGTTTGTGAAAATTATATTTTACAGTCTGAAGTTTGACTTTTTTCTTGCTTCTGTCTGTATGTTTTTTCCTCAATGAAGGTAGATGGGTTGTGCCTGTTGGTTGCACTAAAAAGTATGACTTCTTGGTTGTGTAATTCTCGTTTTGAGTGTAGGCTGCATATGTAATATATGGCATAAATGAGCATTTATTTCATCAATGAAAATTTATCTAGGTTTTTCTTCCTATTGTGCTCAGGTTGAAATGATATTGCATGGAAATAAGACTGATTATCTCTATAAAGTGTTCTATTGTCTACTTAGTTCTGCAATATTTTTAGGGTATTACCTTTTTTTTCTTCTGCATAAAAGATATTTTCTGATCACTTTAAAGCAGGAAGGAAGATTCTGTCTAGTCCTAACTACGCTTATTCTTCCACTTATTGTACTTATGTTTTTGGTACGGACTGTTCAATCTTTCCACAATTCTTTAAATGTGAATCTCGGCTTTTATGTAGAGTACATTAAAACTTGTACAGTTTACATTAATTTTCAGTTTTTGAAACTGAAATGATGTTTTTAGAAATGAATTGTAACATTAGCTTTAGGTACTGTGTACTAGACTGTGATGATTTTCTTCTATTTGGAACAGGCGTTAACTCATGTTTTGTAATTTTCATTGTTACCTGACCATTGGATATGAAAGAACAATGTAATTCTATTTCAGAAGTTTTAGCATTTGTGCATAAAATAAGTAATAAAATTGAAATCAGCATATAGCTTTTATTTTGTTTCTGGTACAGTAATTACACACACACTGGAACAAATTTTCAGTCAGGGCCTGATAAGTAGGCAACTTATTTTGCTCCCTGGGAAAATCCGTTTCTACCTCCGCGTAAAGAAAAGCCTGGTATGCTTGAGGCACTCTCAGAAGTTTTTTCCCCCGTCGCATTGAAGAAACTGGCGCATTGCGTGCATGACTCGTACGGAACGGTGAACACAGACACCAATGATGTCCGTAGTGTGGGACTGAGAAACTGCCACGCAGGACGGACGCATCAGGGAAGGACACGACACACAGTAACGCACCAGACCGCGCGAGGACGGGCCCGACGGGCCGTCACTGCCCTGGCAGGAGCAGGGGCACCGCCTCGAGCCGCCCTACCGTGACTAACTGCCTCGAATGTCGGCCAACCTGCACCGAGGAAAGTTTCTTTCGGTTTTCTACACAAAAGTAACAAAAATTGCATCACAGTCATTGGTGCTCTGTTTGCGAGCTGAAGCATTCAGTGTACAAAAATCATAGGATGGAGACGGAGTAGCTAACATGTATTGAAGCCCTCAATCTGCTCAGTTGAAAGTTTTAAAATGGAGAGTTGATTTCTTTTCTTTTGTTTTGTTTTTTAATCTCACCCACTCCCGCACTGGCCGGTTGCACACACGAGCCAAAGTGGCGGCGGTCGCGCACCGATCCGAATCACACAGCAACACTCGAGTGTTTTATTCCTTTATTTCATGAAAGTGGGCATGCCCTGCAGGGCACGTCGCACGTCTGGCAATCAAGCTTCATCATCATCATCAACGTCACATCACCGTGATCGCGAGGACTCGAAACAAGTGCCGGGAGTGCGGGCAGCAGAGTGCCACCGAGCCGCGCCGAGCCGCGTCAGTCCAGACACATTAGTTCCCCCACCGGCAAGTCCAAGTGCCATGCCATGCAGGCCCTGCCCGCCCCTCTGTCTACCGTCGCCAAGCCAGGCAGCCAAGCAGGGGCACTCATCAGAACACGTCAAGCGAATCAGAGGCCGCGGGGGAGACGGACGGGGCAACAAAAAGCAAGATTTTACAACAGCGAGAGATAAAAGGGAATGCTGCTGCGTCGGTTCGGCCGGCAGTGCGTGCCGCGTGCGTCGCGGCGCGGGGCTGTCCGTAAACGAGCAAGGGCCGATCGGAAACGATTAGTGCGGCCGCGACCGCCAAGGGTCGCTTTCTTCACTCTGTCTCTCTCGCACTCATGGGCGTCCCTAAAAGGTGCGAGAGAGACCGATAGACTCTCGGAATCAGTCTGCAGCGACCACCCACCCAGCGACCGGCGCCAGGGCTGGCGAGGCTGGCGCTAATCCGCGGCAGATGCGCGTCGCGGCGCGTCTCTCCCGGTGTCACCGCGGCCACCGCGACGGCGCCCTGCCGACCTCCCACGGCCAGTCGCGGCCAGCGCCCGAAAAAACGGAACACCGCAAGCCTGCTCTCGTTCACCAGGACGCGGCGAGTCTGCCACAACCGACGGTTTCGTCACTCTGTCTCTCTCGCACACCTACGGGACGCCCCGAGTGCGAGAGAGACAGAGCGACGAAACCATCAGGCTAGCGCGGCAGTCGCGTGATGATTGATGCTCGCTGCAGGCGACGAAGTGACAAATTGCCGTGGGCTGGAAGCGCGGCGGGCTGGCGGCGGGCACGCCGGGAAGGGACGTGGGCGGAGGACACGGCGACGGTGCGCTGCAAGGCGGGGCGCCGCGTACACTGTACACACCACCGCCCACGCACAGCGCCCCGCACACAGACCAGAGGACTAGAGACTGCCACGGGCCGCGCGCTGCAGGCTGCAGCACGGACCATTAGGCCAAGAGCACTCCGCGCTCTGGAATTAGCTTCCATTGGCTGTTGGAGTGTTGCAGTCAAGTGCCGCCAGTGGCAGTCTTGGCTGGCCGGGGTTCGAGATTTGGCGCTGTTTCCAGGCCAGGCCCAGACGCATGGTTTCTCCTTCTTCAACATCGCACAGTTCTCGGTGCAGAAGTGCGCGTGGTAGTGAGCCTCTCTGCTCGTGACGTCCTCCTCGGCGGCGGTGGTTGCCTTAAAGCAACACACGCCGGGCCACGCCGCACCATGCCATGTCGCAGTGAGTAAGTACACGGGGAACTGCTATTTCAGACACTTCCTGGGCGAGGCGCGAGGCTGGTGGAGCGGCGGCGCACCGGACACCCAGGGCACCTCCCCGACCCGAAGCCGCCGAAGCCCGAAGCACCGACACGCTCCCCTTGACACTTTCTTCCCCAGGGAGCTCCCGTAAAAATAACAGGCGCTGCTCGGGGAGCACCCCAGGGCCGCTGCGGGGCCCACCAAGGGACCAAGGGGCACACCGCCCAACACCGCCTCGCAGGTTGATTCCACTTGTCACCGAGGCGCGTCGGCCCATTCCCCCCGTAATGAGGGCGCGAGGCCGCCGCCGTGAGGACGCCGTCGTGGCCGCGGGGCAGGAAGTCGCCGCGGAGGCGCGGGGGGCGGGGGGCGCCCAGACTACTGCTCCCGACGCGCAGGCAACCCGTGCGCCTGGCGCGCCGAGCGTGCGGCGTGGCCGGCGAGCTAGGGCGCGCCCCGGACCAGACGGGACGGCGGCGCGAAGACCGCCGGCCCCCACCACCGAGCCGCGAGGCCGCGAGGCACGACGCCAGCTACCCGCTCAGCCTGACGGCCTGACCTGACGTGCCTGACGCCAGCCATTGCAGGGCCTTACGTCAAGCAATCGCCACCAGCGATCACCAACCGAACCAACTTCACCCGGCCATCCACTCGGGCTGTGAACGGAAAGAAACCCCATACCACCTGAAAATAGTTGGCTCTGGCTCTGCATCTCGCCTGCTTACTTGGCCACGCGGAGCGCCTGCCCGAAACGGCGCACGATCAATTGTGATCCAGCCCGTAATGGCAATGGTAAGCAGCATAGGCCGGCCCGCCGCGCACGCGCGTGTGACGGGCCTGCCTACCTCACAGGCGCGCGGCTCTGGCAGCGCTCGCAGCCGTGACCCCTGTCGTGATCCTTTTTCTCATTTCCAGGGCGACTTCAAGCATTCCGTCCAGCGCGTTCGCGGGGCGCTCTCTATTCCCGGCAGGCCTTGCAGTGTGCCTGCGGCCTGGCGGCCCTGCTGCTCGGGGCGGACGTTTGCCTAACTGCCTGGAAGGCACTGGCTCGCACTGGCAGCGGCACTGGAAGGGCAGAGCGGCAGAGCGCGTGTGATACGTGCTTCCCATTTCCCTGTGTTTGGTGCCGCTCGCGGCTTGGTGCCGCCCCGGCTCGACTCGGCTCGAACCTGACGGGCATACTGGCACCGCGATGCGAGGCGGCAAGGGCAGCAGGCGGCGGGGCCGAGGCGGGGCCGAGGCGGGGCCCGCCCATAACAACAACAGTCGTGCCGTTTTCCTGACGGCGCCGTGCCGCGCACTCTATTTTTCATACACGCACGTAAAGATGATGTTGGAGTTTGCGCCGAGGCGGCGGCTGGGGCGGCTGCGGCCAGGCGGCATGCCTCTTGTCGTTTGTTGTTGTTGTTGTTGTTGTTGTTGTTGCTGCTGTTGTTGCTGTTGCACGCTGACCAAAGCGCGGCAGGCAATCCAGGCGGCTGCCGCGACACTTGGGCTGCTCTTGGCGCGGATCAACCACGGCTGAGGCACGGCGGCACGGGCGGCACGCCAGGCGAGCGACACGTCGCGGCCGCGGCGCCGCGGCATGCATTTTGACCTTTCAGAAAAGTTGGCGGACCCGGCTCTCCTCCTGCTCTCGCTCTGTCAGAGCGCGATCGTGGGAAAAGGGATTTTTACAGGCCTGCCAACACTCGCATGTCAGCAGTGAATATGCAGCGTTGGCTGCACTGTGTAGCGGAGTGCTTGCACTCGGTGCACTCCGTGAGCAGCAAGCAGCACCGCTGGCGCGCTGGCCGGCGAGCCGAGCCCAGTGCGGCCAACCTGTCGGTGTGCTTTGGACGTGAGGCAATGCAGTCCGCACACCACACCGCGGTTTGGGGAGGGGGGGGGATGGGTCTCGGCCGCGGCACTGACCTCGTCCAAGCCGATCCGCCGGGCAGCCTTCATTGCGTCTTTGCGTCCCTTCTTCGCCAACACACCCAATCGACTTTTAGCCACTCTCGGTGTCCGAAGCCCGTGGCTGGCCCGGCCGCGCCGCGTGCACCTGGAATCTGTCCCGACCGCCCTGCCCCGCCCCACCCCGCCTCTCACTGCGATTTTCCCGAACGCCCCGCAAGAATTTTTGGGCAGAGCGGATGTGGAGAGGATAATGGGCACAAGGGGGTAATTATCCGGAGCGAGTGAGAGAGAGGGAGAGAGAAGGGGGGGGGGGGAATCGCTTGCTGCCGCTTGCTGCCGAGCTGATGTAAAGGCATTTTTTAAAATGAAATTGCTGCGCCTCTCGAATTAATTTGCAGCGTTTAGGCCGCACAAAACAGCGCTCCGAACGGCAAACTGCACATTATAAGGCCATTCGTCGCTTCTAGTGTGACGCGGACGCGCGCGCAGGGGGCCATCTTCAAGGAGGATTTCTCACCCATTTTTTTCTTTTCCAAAATAAAGGTGAAAAATAAATAAATAAATAAAATGCTGTCAAAATGAACTGCCTCGAAGAATTCCCCTCCGTTTTAGGTCGACTGTTTTGTTTGAAAGGGCGCGACAAAAGCGCGCTGGAGAAGCTGCCGTTGGAGGGCCTGGCCAGGGCCTGCCTTGCTGGAGGCCTTGCTGGAGGAGGAATGCAACAGGAACAAGCAGTGGGCACCGGTGGGCACCAGTGGGTACCAAACAACACACACACCGGTACCCGCCTCCCACTCCCCCTTCTCCCGGGCCACTCACACGCACACATCACACACACACATACACAAACACACACACCCGCGCGCGGGCGGCGACAAATTTTACGAGAGGTTGTTAGTACGGTGGGCCCTTTGGTCCTTCTGGAGGACACACCGGCGGGCCGGCCGGGCCTCACCCCAAGC